AGAACACAGGGAGGGGGGAGGTGAGAAGAACACAGGGAGGGTGGAGGGGGAGGTGAGAAGAACACAAGGAGGGTGGAGGGGGGGATGAGAAGAGCACAGGGAGTGTGGGTGAGTTTGAGAAGAGACCGCTAGGGGAGGGTGGGGGAGAGGAGAGACCACTAAGGGGCAGGAGAGAGCTCTGAGGGACAGCAGGGACAGCTCTATAGGACAGGGGGCAAGACAGGGAGCTCTTTCACACTACGCGCACGCACACACACACACACACAATGCATCCCTATACATACACAGAAACACACAATGCATCCCTACACACATACACAGAAACACACAATGCAAACCCTTACACACACATGCAAACACACACACTGATTTTCTTACATACACACAGAAACACAATGCATCTCTTACACACACTCAATGCACACACCTTGCATCCCTTATGCATACAAACACAGATTCACGCAATGCATCCCTTACACACACAACCAGAAACACACAATACATCCCTTATACACAAATACACTCTGCTTCCACTACACACAAACACACTGCATCACCTACACAAACTGGTATCCCTATACACTACATACTACCATAAGCACCCATATTAGATCCATTACAATAATACATAACACATCCCCTACACACTCCACTCCCTGTGAGCGAACTCATGGGTGGGTGGAACATATAAGTGGACTTATGATTGGGCCTTGTGGGCATACTCACCGTCAGGTCCTGGGGCCCAGATCTTGAGCTGTGTAAGGGGCCCCCCAAAAATGGAGCTGCTTCCAATGCTCCCAGAACATTGAATTTTGTGACCACAGTTGCAAACAGCCACCAGACCAGTGGAGCCAAACTGCAGCCCATCAGCATCCTCATCTGGTTGTAAGTAGGCAATCTAATATATTATTAGTGACACTAATCTACAATTTACCTCACATTAAAGGGACACTATAGTTCCCAGAACCACTTCAGCTTAATGAAGTAGTTCTGGTGTCTATAGCCGGTCCCTGCAGACTTTTTAATGTAAACACACACTGTGTGCAGCACTGGCGTTAGTTCATTTGGCAGATCATATGGGTGGGGCATTGTGATGTCACATGGGGGGCGGCAAATTCAGTTGTTCCCCATGCAGCCACAGGTGCCGCTGTGCTGGGAGATTGTGATTACTCCTTACTTCCGCCCAGCCTACAGAGCAGCGCATGGGAGAGAGAGAGGAGGAGGCATGATTTAATCTTACAACAAATCGAGTAATCAAATCTTTTTAAATTTGGGGAGGATCAGCTTACAGTTTATTGGTGTTTACTCTGATGTCTGCATTAATATTGAGGGATTTCTAAGTAGTAACATCAGTGTGTGTCAGCAGGGCCAGCCATTGGGGTGTGCAAGCTGTGCGGTCATGCAGGGTGCCATGACAACAGAGGCGCCCGGCGGCCAACACAGCTCACAAGTTGGGTACACCAGCATATTCAATTTAAACGATTCGCTGGTGGTCCACTGGTGCGCACCAGCAGTAGGTGCAGTCAGATTATAGCATCTCCCTCGTGGTTCCGACGCTCAGTTAGTGAGTCAGAGCACAGGCTCAGAGATTCTCAGCCTGCGCTCTGACAACATTGAAAGTCAGAGCCGTGAAGGAGCGGGTATGGCAAAGAGCTTCTGATTAGCGTAACATCAATATCCGTTATAAAACCAGGAAAAGGATGGTGAACTGATTTGGTGGTGTAATGGGCCACTTGACTGGTTTTGCCCCCCAGGCCTAAGGCTGCCAGCCCTCCCCTGATCACAATTGGGTTTTTAAATCATAGTTTGTCTAAGCACTTTTTGGAGACCCATAATTCCAATCCAAAAGAAATGGATTCTATGGCAATCCAGAAAGTATCAACCCACTGGAGAGGAGGGAATGATGCCTTTATTTAAGTTAAAAAGAAATCAATTGGATATTAAATATTTATGCCCAAAAGGACTAAATATTGATTTTGAAATTGGACCAATTCTCTAATTCAATACATTTGTTTATTTATTTCTTTGTTCACAAATTAAATTTTTATCTATTCTATTATGTTTGTTATAACTATGTCCATTTAAATAAATTGACTCTGCTTTTTTTATTTTTGTTGAAAGAAGTATTAATAATATTTAAGTAAATTTTTCTATTTTTTAATTAATTTATATTGTAAATAAGTATGTTTTAATGAATTTGTAATGTTCCTTAATGTCCTAGTAAGAGTATAAATCTATGTTTATCCCCCAATCTTTTTGCCCTTACTTCTCCCTTTTTCAAAATAGTGATTTCTGAGAACTCCGTGTGAGCTCTATAGACGTCATGGGACTTTTTAGGCGTGCTTTACTGAGTGGTATTAATGTCCAGATGGGACTCGCATCCACACAATGCTGACGCCGGCTGCAAGAATACATGGTGGACGCATTGGTGTATCCTGGTTTTGTGCTGCGCCCCACCCAATCCTTCCCCCCTGCCCCGCCTTCTAGATACACACACACACATTCACTGACAGATACGCATACACTAGCTAACAGACACACACAGTCAGACACACACTAACAGACACACACACTCAAATTAACACACTTTTTTTTTTAATTTAACCCCCCCTGCCTCCTTAACTTTGGCAATGCTGGGTGGGGGGGTTCTCCCTCTCCCTGGGGTTTAGTGGGGCTGCTGGGCGGGCGGCGCTGGCGAGGGAGCACTTTCCCCTGAGCGCTCTGCTCAGCTCCCTCACAGAGTGATGCCGGTCACCTGGAGATGGAATATGACTCCTGACATCACTCTGCGGCGCGCGAGGGAGCTGAGCAGAGCGCTCAGGGGAAAGTGCTCCCTCGTCAGCATCGCCCGACTGACCGCCCGCAAGACATTTGCCTGGGCATTTGGGGTCTGCTTTTTTTGCTGCCCCCTGGAAAATGCCGCCCAAGGCAAATGCCTTGTTTGCCTCGCGGCTAAAACGTCCCTGGGTGGACATAACCAGAAATAGCCGCAACACGTGATTAGCCCTGTTCTCCATCTTAAAAGTGGCAAATGTGATCCGGAACCTTCTTTATATGGATAAGGGGAGGGTTTTTTGTTTATCATGTGTGTTTATTTTAATCTAATTGTCAATGGTATACAAGAATGTTATGTTCAGTTACCATGTTATGTGCACCTGAGGAAGACCTACTTTACAAGGTCGAAACGCATTGTGCCTGTTTTTTTATTACTTTTTGCTCCAATAAAAGTTACATGCCTATCCTGCATCTGGTTCCTGAATTACTATCCGGAGGAATATCATCACCTTCTGGGGACCTGAAACTGTCCTTGTACCTGCATCTGACTGATGAAACTGCTATTACAGTTTAGAGCCA